TGAAGCATGTTAGATGTTGACCTTCAGGAGAAAGACTCTCTAGAGCAATGTTTCTCAACCTTGACAATTTTAAGCCATGTGGACTTCAACTCCCAGAATTCCACAGCCAGCAATGCTGGCTGTGGAATTCTGGGAGTTGAAATCCACATACCTTAAAATTGTCAAGGTTGAGAAACACTGCTTAGAGCAATGTTTTTCAACCTTGGCCACTTTAAGATGGGTGGATTTCAACTCCCAGAATTCCTTAGCCAGCATGCTGCCTGGGGAATTCTGGGAGTTGAGATCCACGTATCTTAACATGACCAAGGTTCAGAAACACTGATCTAGATCAGGGGTCTGCAAACCTGGCCCTTTTATGACTTGTGGACTTCAACTCCCAGAATTCCTCAGCCAGGCACGCTGGCTGAGGAATTCTGGGAGTTGCAGTCCACAAGTCATAAAAGGGCCAAGTTTGAAGACTCCTGTCCTAAGCAATCTGGATAATTGTAACGTGTACAATTGGTGCTGCCAGTTTCCACAAGCGATGTCAATTGTCTTAATTTATTGTGGGTTTTTTTGTAATGACTTATACAGATCACCAGGTACCTTGAGCATCACTGGTTGATAATGTGAAGGTAGGAGACCTTGAAATGGGTTTAACTGATTACTATTATTCATTAATGAGCAACAGTCAATTAATGTTAAGTGCTAGGTTAGGTAACAGAACAGGTGGCAATTAAATTATTTTGATTAATGAGATGAAAATTGGCGGACAGCACTATGTTCAGGAGAACCTCAACAGATATTCTCGCTAAAGGTCTTACCCAAGGAACAAGCCATCTAGTGCAGTGGTTCTCAACCTTTTTAATGCCGTGACCCCCAACCGGTCGTAAGTCGAGGACTACTCAACTGGTCGTAAGTCGAGGACTACTCAACTGGTGCAGCACCGTTTGCAGAATGGGACTTTTGGCGGGCTCAGCAGAGCAGAGACAGCCTGGACAATTCCTATTGGCTTTGGAAAGCCAATAGAATTAGACTCTATTCAAGAGAGTTTATTCTATTGGCTTTCAAAAGCCAATAGAATAAAAGGGAGTAGCACAGCTAAGGAAAAGGGGGGAAAAATGGCGGACTGCATTGTTTGGCGACCCCCATGAAATGGTCGTTTGACCCCAAATGGGGTCCCGACCCACAGGTTGAGAACCACTGCACTAAACTTTCTTGGAATTTTTGACAGCATGGACAGACGGATGACAGCATGACAGATGGAAATTTACTAGGGAAGCTGGCACTTCAAATACACCCAGATCACTGCCTATTAGGACTGTGGAAAATACACAATAGATCTGTCAAATGTCACAAGTGAAACATCTCTCTGGAAGTAGCTGTGATCTTTGGATACATTTTGGCTGTATCCAAAGCCATCGTAAGGCACAAGAAGCATGTGAACTGAATTTAAGACGTCACCAAATCAGAGAAGGTAAATCTTGCTTTTTGGGATCAGCCAACCCTGATAAACCCAGGATCCATGTCTACAGCCAAATTCTACATTCTTGGTGCAGGCTTATTTTTAGAGACTGCCTTGGTTCTGATATCCTACTGCACACAAAAGGAGGAAGTGCAAATATTTAAGAGAAAAAAATATATATTTTCCAAGCTATTCTCCAAAGCGCCTGAAGGCAGGACAAGAAGCAACGGATGGAAACTAATCAAGGAGAGAAGCAACCTAGAACTGAGGAGAAACTTCCTGACAGTGAGAACAATTACCCAGTGGAACAACCTGCCTCCAGAAGCTGTGAATGTTTTGAAGAAGAGACTGGACAGTCATTTGTCCGAAACAGTATAGGGTTTCCTGCCTGAGCAGGAGGTTGGACTAGATGACCTCCAAGGTCCCTTCCAACTTTATTATTATAATTATTATCATCATCATCATCATCATTATTATTATTATTGATCATTGCACAGTCAGCCAGATGTTCAGACTAGATTTGGCATTTTGTCAGGACCTGGGATAGGCAGATGTGGATGTTTGATGGTATTACAGATATCGTCGCAGGATGGAAGCAGTTCCTAGTAAGGCCGCCTTTTGCAATTGACTAATAGCGAATTTGTCAATGCCAATGGTGTTCAAGTGGTGCTCCAGTGGTTTTGGGATTGCACCCAAGGAGCCTATGACTATTGGTACTACCCTTGCTTGCTTTTGCCACAGTCTTTCTATTTCTATTTGTAGGTCTTTGTATTTTGTTATCTTCTCCAGTTCTTTCTCGTCTATTCTGCTGTCTCCAGGCACTACCACATCCACTATTCGGATTTTTTTGTCTTTCTTATCGACAATTGTTAAGTCCGGGGTGTTGCTGTTGTTGTCATTATTATTATTATTATTATTATTATTATTATTATTATTATTATTATTATTATTATTATTATATATGTAATTTTCCTAGCTCCTAGCTTGCTTTGGATGAGATTTTAATTTAATTTTATTAAAATCTAAGTTGTGTGGATTCTTAAGTGGCCCTCACCTGCCAGTTTTAACTTCTTTCTTTAATTAATTAAAATTCAGGGCAAGTTAAAAAGTCAGCGATTAACCAATTACAAATCCCATTAGACACACTTAAAGGAGGACAGCCAATCCTAACCCTATAATGCTCTAAGAGGCTCCCAGCAAAATGAAATTGGTAGTCCTCGGTCCCAGGATCAGATCAAAACATGAAACAAAATATTCTTCCCTTCAGCTCTGTAGTCCCAGGAGAAATGACACCCAGAGCCAAGTGTTATTTCTGGCCTAGCGTGGGAGAAAAAAAATTCCCTGCACTTGGTTGCCCAAATGTTGTCTAGAATAGTTGCGGCAGCTGTGGGTGGAGGCATCTGCGTTCTCCCCAGAGCTTGGAAGGATGGAAGTTGGTGGCTTCAGTGTTGTGTTGTCTTTCTCAACCTTGGCAGCTAGAACTCCCAGAATTCCCCAGCCAGCTTCCAATAAATTCTGGGAGTGGGAGTCCACCCATCTGCAAGTTGCCAAGATTGAGAAACGCAGCACTGGAGCCATCAATTTCTACCAGAGGAAGCTTGTGAAGATCACAATAAATATATCCCTCGCCGTATTTATACTTGTTTTTAATGCACTAACTTGATCTTTGCTCCACGAGCAAGGTCCTGCCTAATTTGCCCCAGAGATAGACAGACACCTCTCCACTCCATTCCAGGCTCCTGCAGGAGCAGAGCTTTGACTAGAAGCCCCTTCCCACCAGCTTCCAGGATCCAGGAGCATCTGTGGTCCTCAGGAGGTGTGAAGGAGCTAGGCCCTTCTAGCAAGAGCTTTAATGCTAAGGAAGGGTTGGGACCAAGCTCTCCAAAACTGGGCAGGGCCATTTGCCCCCAGTGACCCAAAAGTAAGACTGAGGAAGGCAAGGTGGGAGAGGGAGGGAGGGAAGGAAGGAAGGGGAAAAGGAGAAGGGGAAGAAAGGAGAAGGAGAGCACAAGGGGAAGGAAGAAGGGAGGCAGAAAAAAGGAGAGGTGGAAGAGAATGGAAGGAAAGAGAAGGAAAGCAGGGGAAGAAAGAAAGGGGGGGAGGAGGAGAAGGGGAAGGAAGGAGAAGAGAAGCAGAGGAATTAAAGAGAAAGAGAGAGAAAGAGAGAGGGAGGGAGAGAAAAGGGAGGAGAAGAGGGAGAAGGAAGGAAGGAGAAGAAAAAGGAAGGAAAACAGGAAGGAGGAGGAGAAGGGGAAGGACGTAGGGAGAGAGGAAGAAGGAAAGGAGTAGAGAAACAGAGGGAAAGAGAGAGAGAGAAAAAGAAAGAAAGGAGGCAGGAAGAAGGGAGGAAGTGGAGAAGGGGAAGGAAGTAGAGAGACAAGAAGGAAGGAAGGAAGTAGTAGAGAAACGGGGAGAGAGAGAAAGAAAGAAAGAAAGAAAGAAAGAAAAAGAAGGGAAAGAAGAAGGGAGACAAGAAGGAGGAAGTGGAGAAGGGGAAGGAAGTAGGGAGGCAGGAAGAAGGAAGGAAGGAGGGAAGGGAAAGAAAGGCGTGAGAAGGGGAAGGAAGTAAAGAGACAAGAAGAAGGAAGGAAGGAGTAGAGAAACAGGGAGAGAGAGAAAGAAAGAGAAGGGAAGGAAGGAGACAGGAAGAAGGAAGTAAGGGGAGAAGGGGAAGGAAGTAGGGAGACAAGGAGAAGGAAGGAGTAGAGAAGCAGAGAGAAAAAGAGAGAAAGAAAAGGAAAGGGGAAGGAAGGAGGAAGGCAGGAAGAAGGGAAGGGAAGAAGGGAAAGAAAGGCGTGAGAAGGGGAAGGAAGTAAAGAGACAAGAAGGAAGGAGTAGAGCAGTGGTTCTCAACCTTTCTAATGCCGCGACCCCATAATACAGTTCCCCATGTTGTGGTGACCCCCAACCACTTATACATCACTGGGTGCCAGGGGCGTGGCCAAAGAAAAGGGGAAAAAAATGGTGGACAGCCTTGTTTGGCGACCCCGGTGAAATGGTCATTCGACCCCAAATGGGGTCCCGACCCACAGGTTGAGAACCACTGGAGTAGAGAAACAGAGGGAAAGAGAGAGAGAGAGAGAGAAAGAGAAGGGAAGGAAGAAGGGAGACAGGAAGAAGGAAGTAAGGGGAGAAGGGGAAGGAAGTAGGGAGACAAGAAGGAAGGAAGGAAGCAGTAGACAAACGGGGAGAGAGAAAGAAAGAAAAAGAAAAAGAAGGGAAGGAAGAAGGGAGACAAGAAGGGAGGAAGTGGAGAAGGGGAAGGAAGTAGAGAGGCAGGAAGAAGGGAGGAAGAAAGGAAGGAGGGAAGGGGAAGAAAGGCGAAGGGAAAGAAGAGAAGCAACGAGCCCTCCAACTGGGGGGGGGGACCCGGCGTGCGCGCTCTCTGCGCCCCTCTCCGTCCGGGCTCAGCGCGCGCAAGGGGACCCCCGGCTGCCTGGGGGGGGGAAGGGGGGTTCGGGGCCCCGGCGCCTCAGCCGGGCGTGGGGAAGCGCTGATCTACCGGGGCGGCGCCTTCCCCGCCGCCGCGCCCGGCAGCCCCGTCCGCGACACTCACCGTGCTCAGAGCCGCCCCCATGGCTGCCTCCGGCTGCCCGACCGACCGCCGCTCGCTTCCCCCGGCCCCGCGTCCTCGCCCCGCCTCGCCCCGCCGCCTGCCCCGTCTCCGGCACGGGCAGCCCGGCCAGCCAGTCCCCGCCGCTCTTGGCTAGCCGGAGAGGTTGCGCGAAGGCGGGCAGGAGGGAGCCGCGCCTCCCCCGGCTCAGCGTTTCTGGCAGGCAGGCAGGGAGGGAAGGAGGGCCGGCCTTCTCCCCACCCCTTCTTGCCGCCTGCAGGAGGAGGAAGAGGAGGAGTGGCCGGGGCCGATGGGAGTTGTAGTCCTCCCCTTCCGCAGGGCGCTTTTAGGGTTGGGGCCGCCAGTTGGAGAGGTCCTCCGAAAGAGGAGGCGCAAGCCTGGCATCCCGATGGCCCACGCTGTGGGCTCCGCTTCTCCTTGCCCCGGGTCTGGCCAGAGGTTCTCCAGATGTTGAGCTAGAGGCCGTTAGATGGCAGCAAACACATACATACGCACACACACAAGGGCCTACAAATATAAAAACACTCAGAGACGCGCAAATACACACAAACGCGCACGCACACGCACGCAGGCAACAGAAGCACAGAGCGCCTCCTCGTTGCGGCGTTCTGGCTTGTTTTACAGCTCAGATTTGGGATCCGGAGGCAAAATCTGTTTTCCCTCCCTCGGTTGTTTGAAGAGAAGATAACGTCTTCACTTTCACTTTCATTCTCTCTCTCTCTCTGTGTGTCTCTCTCTCTCACACACACACACATACACACACACACACAGACAGAGACACCGAAATATTCTCCAAAACACCTGAAAGCAGACAAGAAACAACGGGTGGAAACTAATCAAAGAGAGAACCAACCTGGAATTAAGGAGAACCTTCCTAACAGGACAGACAATTAACCAGTGGGACGGTTTGCCACCAGAAGTTGTGGATGCTCCGACACTGGAGGCTTTTAAGAAAAGACTGGACAGCCACTTGTTTCAAACTGAATAAGGCAGTGATGGCGAACCTTTTAGAGACCGAGTGCCCAAACTGCAACCCCAAACCCACTTATGCATCCTTGGGTGCCAGGTGGGTGTGGCGCATTGGGTGGGCCTGGCTGCAGTGGTAACAGCAGACTGGATGGGACTAAAAAGTTTAATCAATTCCAACTTTGCAAGATCTTTTTTTTCTTCCGCAAGAAGTTGAAATTGACTGATTGATTGAACCTTTTTTGTTTTGTACAGGGCAGCGGAGGCCTAAAGTGAAAAGGTTTTATAAAACCCAGCTGAAGGCTTAGGACTTGGGCAACGGTGCGTGTGCCCACAGAGAGGGCTCTGAGTGCCGCCTCTGGCACCCATGCCACAGGTTCACCACCACTGGAATAGGGTCTCCTGCTTGAGCAGGACTAGTCATTTGAAGATCTACAAAGTCCCTTCTAACTCTGTAATTCTGTTATTCCGAGTCTTCTTCAATCTTGATCTGGTTTCAAAATCAGCATAGTCCGGTTGAGTGCTACCTGCCACCTGGCTGGGATAATAAAATAAAGAAGCAAAAAGTAGACAAAGTGTAATCCGAAATAATGAATGAAGATCTGCTCTAAGCCAAGTAGTGATATTACAAGATCTAGTTGAGGAAATACGCTTGTGGATTTAAAGCGTCACTCTATACAATTCTAAATCTATTTTCAGTTTTCTGCAGGATCTAGAAAGTTATGGAAGCAAATATTGTCTAACAATATCAATCAACAACTATTGTTACTGATGTACAATCTGTAGAACAATAACAACACAATTTGCAGGATTTCTATATATGACCATCTTTCTTTTAATTAATTTTTAAATATTTTTCATTTGAATGTCTTTTTAAAAATGGCAATACAATTATTTAAAAAAGAAGCATGTAATTTATAGCACATAAAACATCTGGGCTAGTTTTTAGATTTTGTGATCATCACTTGCGTTTTGTGAGAACTTGCTTGATGAAAAATTCTGAATTCCCACCCCCCATCTTTGGCTTGATCCAAATAATAGTGTTCTTCATCAGTTGAGACTGGAATACATTTTTTTTTCATTTCCTGTAAAAGCATCACAGCTACCATGGTTTCTTATTATTAGGATTATTCTCACATCTTGATTAAATATCATTATTTTTGAAAAGCTGTAATAAGATGAACCACCACTAGATGCCAACCTTTCCTCAAGCATGAAATGGTTTCAAATTGAGAATCTGAAAAAAAGAACGCTTCAGAAAGAGCAGTTCAGAATATATAACTATTATCCCAAATAAACTTGTAGGTAAGTGCAAAATTGCCTGATCTTAATTTTCTGTTCAAAGTAAATTAGATGAACTGAGCCTCTAGCCTCAAATAATTTTAGATTCGTATATGTAAACATCTTCATTGGGTAATCTCAGAATAAAGCATATCCTTGTAGAAATATAGGCGTTAGCTAAATAAAAAAAAAATCAAATCATTCATTTGACTGTATGATTTGTGGTCTTCATTGAGATTAGAATACTGAAACTTTCAGGCAGAAAAATAGAAATACGGATGTAGCAACAGTTGAAATAATCCAGGAATCAGATGGGTACAAAACAACTGGGGATTTAATTTTGTGTAAATGTGCGTTATCTGAAAGAAGAAAATACAAACATTCCAGATGTTTACTCCATTTCAGAGGGAATACTGAATGTTCATTACTTGGTTATTCATTAAGCAATAATTAACAGGACAAGTGAGGATTGCCATGGTGATTACATTTTTGATTAAATTTCCATAGGCTTTGCCATTTAACAGGGAAAAGCAAGAATGCTTTTCTAAAGAGGCCGAACTACATCTTACATCCAGGAGAGAGAATCCTGGCCCTCCAGTGGTTGATGAACTGTAATTCTCAGCATTTTTACAGGGGCTAAGGCTCCTGGGAATTGTTGCAGGATCCAATCTGAGCTGGTCACTGGAATCAAGATTGAAGCAGCCCCCCCCCCCCTCAACAGGAGTGCTGATTTACTACCAGCTTACTGGTGGTATTTAGGAGGCAAGGCCTGTGCAGCACCAAGAAGGAACAATAATCAACTTAATAGATGGCAATCAATACCCCAATTAACAACTAAGAGAAAGAGAGAGAGAGAGAGAGAGAGAGACAGAGACAGAGACAGATGGACAGACAGATACTAGATATACATAGACGATGGATGATAAATAGATGATAGATATAGATAATGGATAGATAGATATAGAGAGTAGACTAGATAGATGAGAGAGAGAGAGAGAGAGAGAGAGAGAGAGAGAGAGTCCTTAAGAATGGGCTCCAGCAAGAGGCGCAAAGCTTGGAAGAATTAACCATTAACCTCTGGTCCTAGTGAACCACTCAGGTTTGATCCTACAATGTTATCCTGGGACACATATATTTGCCTTCATTCATTGGGAATTGTGTTTGGCATCCACTGCCAAACTAGAGATTCTGACCTCCGAATTCTCCATCAAAGCTGACAGCAGCCAGAGCATAGAACAACTCAAAGTAGTGCAAGACCAGAAGATGTGGATCTGGCCCATAGAATCACTAAGAGTCGAATACAACTGAATAGATACCATCGCCACCACTACCACCACCACCACCATCATCACCATTACCATCATAATCATCATTTTCATCAACATCATTCCCATATTGTAGGTTTGTGCATGTTTTTAGCTCCAGATTTTTTTTTAGAAGCTTTGGAAAACTCAGTTTTCTTGAGAAGAACGTTGTAAACCTTCATGTGTCATGGTTCCGACAGATGACATTCTTTAAAGAACTTCAAGGCATTGTTTACCTTAAAGAATCTTTATTTGAGAAGCATAGCATCGACACTAACACAGTTGAAGTCAAAAATTGAATTCCCCTCCCTTGTACACATAGTATCAAAGCACAATTCCCTCCTCCAATTAACAGTCATAAATTACATTCTCCAATTAGTTTGAAATGCAGGCCTTCCCTCCAGTTCTCCATCCGGCCAATTCTTATCATCTCTTATTTCAATAACTTTGGTTCTCACACTAGGTCCAGTGTTGTTATGTCTAGCTAAACTCTCATGCACATTCCTCCCCCCAGCATCATCTAACTCTAACTCTAAAAGTAAAACATAAAAAGAAAATGGTTGCATCTCCAACTGTTGTCAAAGCAAAATATCCAATGTTAGCAGTGTTGACATAAATATTGGAAACAACTGGAAGAAAATCTCTATAGGAGGACATGAGGTCTTTGGCTAGAAGCATTCAAACTTCTTACTATCTGTTGATTCAGGCATGGAAGTCTTTCCTTTCTTGTTGGGGCATCCACACAGCCCCCTTTCAAATTACCCACACAATTGTAGTACTTATCTAGATGTTCCTAGTAAATTTTTCGACAGAACAATCTTCTCCTCTCTCAGATGGGTTGGGTAAATGGAGTTATTTATTTATTTATGAGACTTATATACCGCTTTAAGTGCAAGCACTCTCTAAGCGGTGTACACCAGTAAGCAATGTATGTATATATATATTTACATTGCCCCCAACAATCTGGGTCCTCATTTTACCTACCCCGGAAGGATGGAAGGCTGAGTCAACCTTGAGCCGGTGAGATTTGAACCGCTGACCTGCTGAACACAGTCAGCTAAAGTGGCCTGCAGTACTGCACTCAAACTGCTGCGCCACCTTTTGTAGAAGTTCAAAAACTGTGTGCCTGTTTTGCAATCGGGGAGGGGGAGGAACTATTATTCTTGAAATATATTTTTCAGTACAGATAGTCCTCAACTTGCAACAGTTCATTTAGTGACTGTTCAAGTTACAATAGGACTAAAAAAAGTGACTTATGATTGTTTTTCACATGACCGTTGCAGCATCTCCACGGTCACATGATCAAAATTCAGATGATTTGCCGAGGCGGCCACCATGGACGTCTGGAAGGCGAGCTCTGTCTTCCTCGTCCAGTTTCGAATCGCTAGGGGATGCTGGAAAGGGTCGAAAGTCACCCTGTAGGGGCGACCAGTGAGGAGGGGATCCCCACTTGATCGTGGGAGGGCGGTAGCCATTCTGCTTGATCCAGGCAGCCCTCCAAACTGGCAGATGAAAGACTGGCCATAGCAATATGGCTCGTCACTAGGCTGCAGACAGCCGAAGTTACACTTACTACCAGGCAACTATAAAGCAGTGCGGATGAGGCTGGGTGAGATCTACCACTCTTAAATCCTAACTATTCTTTCCTGCATAAGCTGCTTAAAGTACTTTCCCCCCTGTGGAGAGGGAAGGGAGATTTTATCCCTCCCTCCAGAAACAGCGGCGACTGACTATCCAGGGAAGTTT